ATAGCTATCACCTCACTGAGCTACTTAACTAAATACCTAACTACTTGTACAATTATTATGACCGGACGCACACGTGATGTGATTCTCGATTGACACGAGCGAATATATCACGGCTAGTGGCATGGAGATAGAGGTTGATGATATGGGATGAATGATTGATAGTGGAGAGCAGTGAACTCGAATCGAGGACTGGGGTACAATTATATTTGCAGTATCAATTCTCATTCGTGTGGATAAACAATGACCTCTCGTGATTGAATGTGACGCGCAGTTAGGCTTTGCGTGGGAGCCCCAACTACTCGAAGCCATTACTGATAACGCGGAGAGATGGGTGGGCGAGGGCGGGGTTCCCGGGAGTACTTTGCCAGGGAAACTCAGATCGTCCACATTGGCATGTGGTTAGGCTAATCGGTACACGGACCACGAAGATACACGAATCCCATGCCAATGTCCGTCTACACGACGCATATTGGAATATACGTGACGGAGGTGGGTCGAGGCAGTTTGAGCTTTGCTATTCGGGTATGGGGTGAGAAGACTCTAATGAGGCTGCTCCTCTTTTAGCGCAAGTAACCCAGGGCAAGGAATGCTTACACACTGTGCTTATGTAAGTGTTCACCTAGGCTTATCTATCGGTCGATGTGAGGAGACAAATGTAAGGCCAGCGGGCGCCGTAACACCATCTACTGGCTGGAATGTCATCAGCACATGGCCCGAGACGACTTCATACGCAAGGTGCAAAACGTGTTCGCGCTATTTCAAGAAGAACTGGCCTTAGCAGAAGGAACGCTTGATTCCACATGATATACCAGACAGACCGTGCGCCTCGTACTCAATCAATACTGACTGAATGTTACATAACAAAAAATCTCCGTTCTGGTATTAGGGACTTGTATTTTGAATGAGTCGTAGTAAGCGAGTGCAAATTCAGGAACGTATCTTGTTGTGAGCTAGAGGACTACTACTCAAGTTCCCATGAAAATCGAGCCCTACTCGAAGAATAGAAAAACCGCGCAAAAGCAGTGAGGTGTCAGTCGTCAATTGTCATTAAAGTCCATCCATAAAGACCCAGACTGCAAAGGCGCCACGCGGATACCCTCCGGAACGAATACAATTTGTATCTAGACGAATTCATCTAAACTCCGTTTCTAAGCGTCCCGTTTCGCGACGCTTTCAAAGACTGTTGCTAGGAAAATGGGACATTAACTACTGCTACCTCAAGCCCAACCTACCCCCAGTCAAACGGACAAAGTGAGCGGTCTGTAACAAACAGTTTAGAACATCCTTAGAACATTGTCAGGGGCCCGAAACGACCGGACTGCGGAAGCGACGTTTGTGACCCAAATGACATTCAGTGACCAACGTTTACATTCATTTTACATTCCGAATTTGGTAATATTTTTCTTCATCGCTGGAGATGAAATATACATCGCTTCCCGTCTCATGACTTTGGTCCTGATGGAAGTAGCGACACTTCGATCAAGATTACCAGCAAAAGTCTACATCGCCTGTGATGCCAAGAATGCATAGGTATGCATGTGTGTTGGTGGGGCGAGTGCTCGGAAGAGAGTCGCAGACCTAGATATTTTTGTAGCATGGCGACGCATTCCGCGGCTATATAACTAAGCATGTCTCAATTAACTCGTTACCAAGTAGTTTCAGTGTACACACTGGTGATACCGTCAGGGATCAGGACCCAGAATAAAAACTTGCGGAAGCCAGCCTGTAGATATTAGGGAACAAGACACGCAAGAAGACCGACCAAGGCCTACTAGTACAAACACGGGCCCTAACGGAATTAACGTTTCTACAGGCAGAAACAGAAAACAATATATTTGAGGACATTCGCGCAACACGCAAACCATGTGATAACTGGTCCGGAAACTCGTCTTGATGAAATACCGACATGCAGGAAGTTCGCTGGCGAGCTACATAGAAACTCCAGCACCATATGCCGAGAACCAGTACTACCTGCACGGTGTCCAGAGGAACATAACCTACACTTAGCTTTGCAGCTCATAGCGCGGTCTAGAAGATCATCAGGGGACCCAAGTCGTTACACAAGTACCTACGATCAAAATCATTGTTTTGATTCTGTGTGCTGTAAACCCTCTGCTTATGTGGAAATAGGTTTTTCTTGTGAATATAGAACTGGTAGCGTAAAGAGCCCCGTTCCACAGTGCTTGGCTAATTTGTGTTGCTAGCAACCTCTAGCCCTGCCTGCAGAAGTTTGTCTGTAAGTGTTAAAAGTTGAATGATAATTGCAATTATTTCAAATCGCCATTTTGATTCCAAACCAGAATTTTATTGTTTACTCCAATTCAAACTTAGTCACAGGTTCTCTGCAAACACTATTTGATATCCTACATTGGGGATACAATACTAGATGTGGCTAAAATATTTGCGGTACTTGGTTATAATTGACAATTCCATATCTAATCGATAATTTACGTCAAATTATTACTGAATAGTTCTGCTGCCTCAAGTTCAATTGGTTCTATTTAACTGCTCTTATAAAAGAGAAAGCGCAATTAAAGAACAAAGGGAGGATCGATTCATATATAGCACTAATACGTGAATAAGGTAACCCGAGGATAAACTCTAAAATGAATATCAACCAATTTAATCAGAAGCGCTGTGAATAAATTCTTGTTGTGCTTTCTTAATGGCGCTTCTTCAGCTATTAAATATTACCAGTATACATTGTGTATCACAATTATATACATTGCAGGCCGTAGCCAGGTGGGGTTCGGCGGGGTTCGAAACGACCCCCCCGAGGCCCCCCCCAATTTTTTTTTCTTTTTTTTTTGAAAATTTGCAAGAATTTTTCATGTTCATATAGGTCGCTCATTTTAGTGTTAATAGATTTGCAAAATTTCTCCATCGTGCGTGGTCACAGGATGTAGTAACGTGTAACAGTGAACACCCCTCCCATCCGCCACACCCTTCCTTACCGCTCGGCTTGCTTTGGTTCCCTCTGCCTGGTCAGCCTTCGCGCATAAGCTTCTAAGAAGATTAACCAACCCGTCATGATAGAGCGGACCAGATCCCGTAATTCGAAGCAAGGGAGTTCTACAGGTGTGTGTCAGTGTGGGAGTCGGACCCCCCATATGATCGCGCGCTCTAGATAAACGACATCTGAGAGGGGTTTTCTACTTGGGCAATTTAAAAAATGTTCCCCAAGACCCCCCCTTGCGGCTCGCAGTAGCTCGCAACTTTGGGTTAGCGGTTAGACCCCCCGCCCCAGTACAAATCCTTGTACACGCCCCTGATTCGATGCATGATTGCCAACATTTGAAAAAGATACGACCCCCCCCCAATAGAAAGCGGGCATACGGGCACTGCAGCTTGGATAAATACATTTGCTATGCATAATCAATTGTCTCTACATGTTGCAATACACTGTAGCATTGTTGCAGGAAACTAGAAGTATATGTAACAAACTAACTGTATATGTAACTATATCATGTACTCACCCCTCTGAAATACCAATATCCGAGAACTGGGGCCATGGTGCAAGAAGACTAGATTAAACCTCACGCGATAAATATCTACATCTATTTATTAATTTTGGTCTTCACTGCTCATAGGTTCTATGCCACGACACATAGACACGACGGCTGTTGAGGATATTGACGCTATTTACATGTGAAATTATTGGTCTTTTATATCGATGTTTACTTTTTCAATTTCGCGCTGGACACCCGTGTCTCAGCGACGCGACACTAGCGCCGACCAACGGCAATAAGATGCTTCACACGAAAGTAGCTATGAATTATGCAATCATCATCATCAGCAGCAGCAACAGCAGCAGCAGCAGTGGACCTGTATAAATCTTTTGAACAAGTGGGGACCCATCTAAGGAAATAACTAGCTTTATTATACAAATTCTGCTTTGGAAGGTTGGGTGTGATACCTGAGGATCTCATAAAATCAGCTGCAGTGCGGGGCGTGTAGCACTTGCTACATTTGCCACTATATTAATCCTCCTGTTCTCTTAGTCGGTAGGGTCTTACACGGAAGGTCTGAGGATCTATCCAGCAGCGAGATATAGCACATGTATGTCGGGATCATAGATAGCCTATATACACTAGACGCGTGTGTATATAAGCTATCTATGACCGTGAGGTTCAAGGTACGACGACGACGACGACGACACGCACATCCCGCCCCACCGTGCAGACAGAACACACGGATTATTGTTACGGCAGATACGTACACTCACGTACACCTGTTGTAATACTAGTAGTTTATGTAATAATATATAATAGAAATATTAAATGAAATTGGAATCCTTGCAATAATGTTACAACTCCTGTTATGATTCTGTAGCAGTTTCACATTAGGCATAGCAACTAGACAAGGTAAGAAGACAAAGTTGCATGAAGTTACGTTTTGTAATGAATTACTATTTTTATTTTGCTACATCCGCTCCACTGTGGTGAATATTAGTAATATTTCATATGATCACATGTATGGACTTTTACCCTTACACATGAGTTTAAGCCACATCTCTGCATATCATTTAACCGTTGGACAACGTTTGTTTGCCTGTAACAGACCTACGCAAAGCGGCCAACCTTCACGCACAATTAATTATCAAAGTAATCTCTCACAGTCCTAGGCGTTAGGTAGACTGCTTCCAGACAGGAATTATGCGTGAATTACACCATGCGCTCACTACTGGCTTGCAATTAAACCAAGATGGAATGACGCGCAGCATGAATTTTAAATTCATCAAACATATTGCAAAATTTGAAAAAAAAAAAAAAAGTTCTAATTGTGAGATTTTTGTGGCTACACAAACACGAAAAACAGGCCAGCTACCCTAGATTTTGCTCAACGACTTGCGTATACCAAAACATCTGTGATTCAAAGGCCCTCTCTGCAATAACTCGTTCCCTAACAAATGCATAACTAAATAGATGTTACACTAACTCTGTACATCCCAATTTATTGCCATTTCACAGTCATAGGCATTCTGCTCCGTATAACTATATCTATAAATTATGAAACCAAACGTAAGCTGTAGTTTCAAAATCCAATTATAGCTTAGGCGAATATAAACATAATATGAATTATTAAAAATAATCATCCATCTACAACAATCTTTCCAACGACAGTTCCGAGCGTTTGTTCCCCGAAGTCCATTCACGATGGTGCGATGACGTCACAGATTCAGGCGCTGTGTGTGATAATCCAAAGCTTGGTCGAAATTCAAAATTCGTGATCTCCCACAGGTCTACTGGTTGCCAAACTTCGCCATCTTGTTGTTGAGGGGAGCCTTCATGAACTTATCTGACGCCATGTACTTCTTGATAGTTGGGAGGGCCTGAAATAGATTGTCATACCTGTAACACCTGACTGTAACTCATTATGGGACCTTCGATCCTACGCCATGCAATTCCCACTCATACATTATATTAGTCCATGCATTTGGACAAACATTTGGTTTATAAGGTATGTGGATACCTAGAATGGTACACAGATGGCCATATCAGAGACAGAAATCACGGCTTATAAGGATTAATTTGGTAACAGGGGTGTATTCCAAAGCATATAGAGGAGGTCCTACAATATAGCAAAACACGAGGTCAAGCAAGCACATATAAGCATACGCGAGGTCCCCTCTTTCCTCCAATTACGAGGCACCACCGTACACCCATAGGAATTTTAACAACCATCTAAATAAGAGACTTTCCCGACATTAACACAACCGTTACGACGTTGTTTGGTGCCATGTTTTGATAGCATTTCGCATATATATATATGAAGTAGATAATAGGGAATCCTTATTATCTTCTTCTGATATATATATGATATATATATATATTTTTTGTTCTTAATTATGTAGCTAATGGCTTCTGGGTTCACCGCCCGACCCGTTGCCTGGGTAATGTGTCGGATTTCTCCCATGTCTCTATCTTCATGCCAAAACACCGCACTACATATATATACCCACACGCGAGCTATATTATTTACAGCTGTACAGCTATGGGTGTGAGATCAGATGCAGCATATATACTACTGCAGGCCAACATTCAGACTCACTGCAAACGCTCTCACTACAGACGGCAGCGGCGTTCATACCACACAGACATGAAGGGCGACACTTCTCCGTACACGCGTACCCCGACACGGCCACAAGAGCAAACTGCTGTCTATATACACGTGCCTATACACGTCCGTTCCTTAGAGATAAGTTCACTATGTACTTATGACAGACCACATAGAAATGAGCTGCCACGCAATCTGGCTGGCTACGCTACTCTCGTTGGGTTACATTATTTTATCTAATGTGATACGTGTACGTTTGAATAAGTATATAAGGGTTTGCTTGATTGTGTGCGTGTTGTGACGTTAGTGGTCTACGGGCTGGATTTCCATCGGGTTAGACGCAACATCTGAGCTCTGTGTAGAGGTCTGAATGGGGTCCAGTAATATTTAGTTATGCATACACAGCACGTTAACTCACTCCTTCTCATGAGCTTGAGCTTCAATGGCTCATAAGAAGCTTCCCCAGGGTCCCAATCATTTACTCTGTCTCTATTATGTACTCTTGAGTTTTTTATACGTCATAATAAAACTCCAGTCATCTAAGATCCAACATGGAGCGACTTGGTAACATGATACATGAGTCAGAGCTCTGACCCATCTACAGCTGCTTCTCTCCTACTGCAGCTACGGGTAGCAGCAGCAGCAGCAGCAGCTTCTCTGACAGAATACAGCAAAGCCTGCCATATTTATAGCTGTACGCGTTCGAGTGGTGCACACATAGCAACACATGGGAGAACCCACAAGTAACCTATTCTTGCGGCTACACCCAGCTGCTAGAACCTATCAAAGCAGTCTGAAGTCACCATCACCCACATGGGCTATGCCAGAACTTATACGCATCACATCACGTACAAACGTAACCAGTTTCGTGTGCACTACCCATGAACTCGTGCGAGATGGATCGAACACCATTAGTCCGATATACCGACGACTAATCTCGTTGAATTTCCTGTACTGGGGGGGGCAACAGGGCAGCCCAGAAAAGAGTAGATGCATTGCAAACAAAATTCGCATGGTTTCAAGTACACTGGTGTATGAGTAGATGAATAAAAAACAGAGTCAATGAACGTGGAACAGAATGACAACAACGTGCACTACCTCAAATCTAAGCTTGAATGCTTGCAGCGTCTTGAGTTCATCGAGACACGTTGGTTCCAATTCAACGTGAACGTCAAGAAGCTCGTATATGATGAAATCCACAAAATTTAGCTGGAAATATACAGAGGAAATTCAAAAATCATTTCAAAATTTAATATGTATCTACACCAGCATGCCCATCAAACTGCACTAAGATCCATAAATTGAAAGATATTAAATCTATAATTAAAGATAATGGGCATTGTTTACAAACAGAGAGATGCAGAAGTTTGCATGTAAGTGTGAAATTGCCCCCAAAAAGATTTTTGAATGAGCTTAATTTCACTCACATTTTTGCCTGTAAACCATTTTCACCCCAAGGAATTCTGCAAGGGCACCTAGCTTGCTAGGTATATCCTTGAGATAACCCTCCTTCATTCGTTCCTGTGTGAAAAGAGTCTTATAGCACCAATATAACAAAAAGAAAAGAAAACAATGAGATTTAGAGACAAGCAGACAAGTAAAAGTGAACCGTAATACTTCTCAGCCATGTTCATCGGCGTATAGTTTTTCACAGAGATACGTAATTATAAAAAAGATTTTACAGCAGGTGTAACAACTACAAAATCTTCACTGTTTTTCCAAAAGCGTAGCAGGTCATGGCGAATGCCCAACAGTATATCAACAGACTGATCTACAAGAATGTCCCCTGATCTGCTCCGCTCTGTTTAGCCGCTACAATCATGCAATCGTGCAGACTATGGTTAGTCACTCTGTGTGATGTTAGACATTATGATATAAAACATGACAAGTTTATTAATCTACTCTAATCAATAATTACGTAAGACGACATAGCGCATTATAGATGTATAGTATGGGTCAACTACATTTCAAACATTGCATCTTTCAATCCAAATACAATAATTAAGTTATTTCTTTCAAGGAATCCTAGAATACTATACAAGAAATCCTCTTTTTTTCTCTATCTCACCTCCCTGAAATGTTTATTAAGTAAAGTTAGGTTAGGAGATACAGCTAGTGTCTAGAATCCTCAGCCACTAGTTAAATTACTACACAGAACGTACACAAGTCAGGCACAACAATAAAACGTCAATGTACTAAGTGTAGAAAAAATGACCAAAAGCTATGCCAACACAGTGTTTGAAGACTGTACATCAACCAGATCAATAACAAGATATAATTAAGTGGTATTGGTGTTGTAAAAAAAACATTGCTCTCCAATGGCACATACATTCGTGCAACTAACATGCATTTATACATAAACAATTTTCATACAATTTCTTGGCAACAACAGTTTGTTAGTTGACGACAGATAACTAGAAAGAAGTTTAGCAATCAGTCATTATTACTGTTCTCTCGCATTAGTAAACAGTATTTATTTCAGTACGATTAGTTGTAAAACACGTATTGCACAGTGCAACCAGCCTCGATGATCTCATCGTGCATCCAAGTGCCAAGGCACACTTACAAACAGTGGGCTGTAACACAGACGCCCATATCCTGTCCGGAAGTCACCAGCCGCATCCAAAGCAAGGTCCTCTCGAATAACATCATCTTTACTAACAGCTGAGAGACAGAAATTAAGTAAGAGCGCTCCACGATATGCAACTAGTTCCATTCATGGAAATCTTATTCATTCTGTCATAATAGTCAATACATATGCACATATACATATCCATTGTTGCTCTCCAATGTACATACCGAGGCCGTGTTTCCTTCCAAGGTAGCGAATAATTGTGTTGCTCTGGGTTAGCTTCAAATCTCCATCAACGTAGTAAGGTAGCTGAAACCATATCATATGAAAACTATTTTAAAGAATCTCCTGACTATTACATTCAGAGTTAATCGAAACTGTAAGTAAAGAACTAGCTTTATGTCTATATGTACGTTCGTTGTTGGTATCTCAATCTGTAGTAAAGTAGAGAGGTAGATCGTAAGTGGAATAAGAACTGCATATATATAAAACCATGCATGATTTTCACAGTCCACGAGAAGGGACCATTTTTCATAGAGATAAATGTAATGAACAATTCAAGATTATACAGGACACTATGCAGGGCCGGATTTAGGCCCCTGGGCAGCCTTCAGTAGTACCCTAGCTTAGAATACTAAAAACGAAAAGGTGACAAGACATATAGTTACAGTCATCCATAAAGTAAATTCTTTGAAGTAGAAAAAATCTGAATAAGCAAGCAAGAAAATCGACGTTGAGATGGATGACGTTAGATTTAAGATGTTTGCCTGCGACGTGTGCTGAGCAATGACAGGTAAACAACCATTTAGCTGTTTCTACCTCTCACAAACAAATACAATATGGCTGCCTTGCGTATGTATGACGTAAAACGCGAGCAATATGATTTTGATTGATACGTGCATGAGTGGCGTTCAGGTCAGCCTACATTTTTCCTTACAACATGTTTTTTCATGAAATATGTGGAGGCCCCTGGTTGTGGAGGACCCTGGTTGTGGAGGCCCCTGGTTGTGGAGGACCCTGGTTGTGGAGGACCCTGGTTGTGGAGGACCCTGGTTGTGGAGGCCCCTGGTTGTGGAGGACCCTGGTTGTGGAGGCCCCTGGGCAACTTCCCACCCCCTCCCCCTAAATCAGGCTCTGACACTATATGCATATAGAAGAATATAGGTTCAGTCAGTATATCAACCTATGCATTACCAATGTAGGAACTGTTGTTGAGGGGCATACACAAGCAAGGACACAAACCAGTGAAGTATGTGGTAGTCCGCGGACCAAACAAGGAGTTGAAGAGTAAATAGTCTGACACAAGATGTGGACATCTAAGACAATTACACACGTACTGTACTTATTCTCTTGCTAAGCCATGGAGCCGGGGAGCGGGGTGCAGGCTGGATTGAGGTTTAATAAACAGGTTCTGATGAACGAATTTCTTCGTTCCTGCCTATTTTTTAATTTGCTTTGTGATTGTGATTACAAAACAGGTTCTGCATTACTACAACTGGTGCTTTATGCATGGCTAATATTTCACGGATCTATTGACCATGGGTTTTGTTTGCAGCATTATTTTAATAAAACGTATGATTTAGCAGATGCATTGATCCCTCACTTGTGTGTCTCATCAGAGCATTCTCTGGATTAAATACTGGAGAATTATCACATAAAACAGTAGTTAAACAGCTTTTGCTCCTGAAAAATATAAACACATGCACCCAGTTGCAACCAATTGTTACTGACACATGCACTATATATAGTTTGCAAAGTGCATTTGGAACCGCTCTATTTGCTAAAGAAGCAAGGAAGATGTCTAAGTATAACATTACAAACTTACATTTGGGAATGGCAATCCTAGCGTTGGTTTGACATCAGTCCAGCAAGAACGGTCAAACTTTGGCCCTGCACGTCATTCGAAATGTTTAACTTTATGATTACACTATTTACCATAGATCGAGAGAGAAAGTTTACCAGGACTGCATTATCACATCTAAATCTAGCCCACAACTTGAGCTATGAAACTGGGGTACCTACTTCTATCATGTACTTGTAACTGTGACATGATGGGGTACCACATATCTCAATTCAGAGTAAATATTTGGAGATTTCTTTTCAATTAAAATACTAAAGCAAGCTGAAAATTATAAGACTTAATTAGGAGGACGTATAAAATTTGAGGCAAAACTAAATTCACAGTAAATAACTATAGAAGTTTCACATTAATCAGGAGAATTATAGAAGCTATAGAACATATGTATAAAGCTGACTGACGGTAAAATATTGTTTTTCACGCTATATATATACAGCTAGCCTACTATATATAAATGTATACAGCCATATCACGCTTCACATCATACTCCATTAGTAATGAAAATATATGATTATATATATGATTATATATATATATAATAATAATAGAATCCCACACAGATACTGTTAATATTATTACCTGATTTATATATATAAAAACTCACCTGGACCACAGTCATACATCTTGTCTTCAAATTCTGTTTCAGTGTAGGCTAACAAAAGCCGAATTGGCTGTGCAAGCTAGAAACACAATTGCATATCAAATTATGTTAGGATATATATATATACACCTCTCTCCTTTCCCTCTTCTATTCCCCCCATGGATGCATTGCCTCTCATTCCTCTACTTACTCAACATTTAGCCATGCATGGCTCCTGTTACTTTTTCCTTCCATTGCCTAATTAAGTCTTCCCCTTCTCTAAATCACGCGTTGCGCAAAGAGCAAAGTATACTATGTCCCACCTGGCTCTTAGCACAATGCGTAGAAAGCGAATCTGGTTACGAGAAGAAACAGAAACTTTCTTTCCTGAGGACGAATTCGGAAAGGGGAAGTTAAAGAATGGGAAAGGGATGAGTAAAGGTCGACACGTGTGAGAGAATCGCTACTACAACGGACAACAATCACGGCCACACTGTCAGTGAGTGTATCCCCATTATTTGTCACTCATTAATGTTTATAGAGAGGAATAGAGGTCTACTCGCGATATATAGGCCTAATAGTAATATAGAAAGCCCGGCGGAAAATATTGTTTCGCCACAAACGCCACCGCTCATCCTATGCAACTATATGATATATATACATTCTAGCAAGAGCGTATTAAAAATGCATTCTTAAGAAAAGCGTATTAAGAAAAGCATCTTGATTCTATAGTATATATACAACGATCCGACAACGCGGATATCGGTAGTCGCGTATCGCCGCGCCTACGGGGCGCGTACACAGTACATCGGCACTACCGCACCGTCACCATCCTAATTCCTAATGCTAGCTATAACCAGATAGATAATATCAAGACCGTATAAAGAAGTTATATGTACATATATTTACATATATGATAATATATGTAACTCACGCCTCTGATGCTCCAATATCCGAGAATGGGTGCCATCGTGATGAACGGCAGTAACTGAACGCGACGGTGAACTGGGTGCAAGCAGAACGCTGAATGACGAACGGGAAGGAAGTCGCCCAAACTCCACGACAGATGGCGCTCTCGCTGTCGCTCAATTCATCCTGAGTGCAGTTTGGGAGTCGCCGCGAGTGCGTCAACCACGTGAAGCCGAGCAGCCGAGTCGATCGCAGCGCCATCACGTAAGGGAGCGTCTAAAATAATGAGGGAAAAATTTTGGCGAAATCTTTGGCGCTGATGGAGCGAATATACCGAAACCCATGAATGCTCGTATAGATGGATGGGATTATATAATGTATGTATTATATATATAATATATATATATATATATATATATCAATGTGTGTGCGCGCACATGCATGTATGCGTGTGCGCGCGTGCATGCTTGTGTTTTTTGTGTTGTAGGGTATGTGCACGCGTCTGTGTGCGTGTATGCGGTGTATGTACGCGTGTGTACACACGCGAGCTTGATATGCTTCTCTTCAGATCTCTATTTATTGCTAATCGTATAACTTTATAAACAAGGTCACATTATAATGTACAAAATGGACACATCTTGTTTGAGGAAACCAATTCATTGTACACGTTCATGGGACGCTAATCACCGCTTTTGCCATGTCTCATCTTGCAACAACCGTTAAAATTTAGGCAGTGGCTAAGGGTACGGTAGCCGTATCTTAATGTCTCGAGGCTACGGGTACGCGGAGTCCATTCGCTTTCATACTTAACGAGACAAAGATGGCGGCGGTGGCGCTAATGATCGAAATAACGCCTTGGAAAATAAATTCACGATTTAGAGTTTAGATGAGCTAGAACCCTAACCTAACCCTAAACCATAACCCTAACCATAACCCTAAATCCTAACCCTAACCCTAACGCCAAAAAGGGGCTTCAACGACCGACGGCTACCGTACCCGTAGCCACTGCGTAAAATTTATTTGCTTCTGTCGTCTCATACTCGCTCTCTTTTTCTTCCTCTCCTAAAATGGAACGTTTTTCAACTTAAATCTGCAGTATTGATCAATCAGTTTGATCAATAATAGGCACGTTCCTTCTTCGATATATTCTCTTGGATTACCAAGAATATTCTTTATGAGGTTATTGGGCTCTTGCATATGGAGTATTCTGGATCTGGATAGTTTACTGCGTAAGCCCACGGTTACGTGGATAATAACGCAGGGACATTCCGTAAGGAATAAACGTCCAGGGCTATAGCTAGCCATGAGGTGTGACCTAGCTTGGGCAAAGCCAGGTAGTTAGCCTTTTAGCCGAATGACACTGAGGGTGGTCACAGCCAGAGTTTTTTTGCGCCCTCAGTGGTTCTTTTACGTCCCCATTGGCCTTAGTATTACTGGAGACGGGACCGCCATTTTACGTGGTCATCCGAGACACGGGAGATTCAGTCTCCAATGTTGAGAGCCAGGTTTTTACACCTTGAGAAAATTCACTGCCCCGGCCGGGGTTTGAACTCACAGCCTTCAGTGAATAGTATACGTGGCCTAACCGTATTGTGTATATTAGGAGTAGAGTATTTACTTGAAAGCCATTCTACACTTATCTTCTACAACAGAGGCCGCTGGGTGTTCGATTGTGAGTATTTGCGACTGTACCGTTCCAAGCGGAGAGAAAACCATGTCCCATAATCCTACACGAAAATGATAGCATCGCACATGCGCACAAAAATCATTGCAAATGGCGGCACTTGTTATTGTTCAATGCCGTGCGTAGAATTGTCATAATAATGACAGGAAAATTGTCATTTACAGGTATGATACCCCTTTGTCTTTTACTAGGTTCAAAACTTTAAACCTTATTCTATTATTTGATATTAGGTTTACTATATATTATTAAGAATCTGTAGCAGTAGTCTGTTGTAAATGGCATCGTCTCTTTTGCATTTTTGGTGAAGTCTCTACCAATTTTGACGCATGACACCGTATGTTGGTGTTAAACGTTTACGAAAATGAAAACTACACGGAAAACCGATTTGTCCATAATAACACACAACCTATATCTAAATAAATTTGCACGCACCTGGCGTTGTCGGCGGACAATGTAATATCGTGGCTAGTGTTTTTCTGCAGCCTACCATTTTTGTTGCTCAAGTATGATATTTTTTGACAGTTCTATCCACACCCACCTGATTTTGATTATCGTCCTAATCATTGTGAATACTTTCCAGTATCTCATTGATGTCTATCATGGTTGGATTATAATAGACTATTTGACATTTTGTTGGAACGTACAAACAACCCAGTGTGCGATTCGCACAGCTATTTAACTTGCTGGATATGCATTGGTCATTACTAAACTATTGTCAGTAAAAAATACGAAGTTAAATATTTCATCAAGTTTATTAACGCTATGGTTATAATTGTGAGATAATTTATCCAAGTTCATTACTATACTTGTACTGTGTTCATTCGTGTTATTTAAAGGTCAAACTAATATAATACTGAATAGATTAACACATATATATTATATCCCAGTATCATGTGTAGGTTTGTTATCTAGTGACCATGATAATATAGTAATCATCTGATACAGTTCATTGCAATGTAATTCATATTTGTTTCTAAGTAGTTGATATGCAATGCAATACTTGCATAATATTATTTCATCAACTGGTTGCGATATCGGCTTTGTCGACATCGCCAGGATACATGTTCATGGTGTTACAGACTGACGTGGTCGAATTTATGCATCGGTAGTAAAGTGGTTGCAAATTTGGCTCGTGTGACCGAAAGATACTCGCATCTCAATTGCAGATGACAATATGGAAGAAGGAGACCCTGACCCAGAGCAGGAGGACCACTTGCTTCAAACCGTCCTCACCTGTAAGGGAGATCTGGCTGATCCAGAATTCCCAAGCAGGTTAAAGCAGCTGACTTCTAAGCTGGAAAATATCCTTCATACAGGTAAACTTACCTAGACAGAGATTTACCAAATCAAAAGCGTATAAAAAAGGAGAGCGTACAACGGTGAAATGCTGAAACCATGTTGCAGTATTAGTCGAATTAATAAACTTTCCCCGTTTTATTTTGACGATTCTTTGCAGTATTATTGATCAGCTGCCTTACCTTGTTAATATAAAACAAACCACATGTCCCTACGATTCCCCTACGCTGAGATAATGAGCGTTGAAAATCTGGTATTTTCGTCAAAAAACCGACTCGAGATCACTTTTTACTGTGACTGTCTCTTGCTTTGAAATAACTTTGGGAAACCTCACGTGTTTCCGTCAATGATTGACAAATGGAATGAATGACGTCTGTTATTGATTGCCATAGTGATGACCTCCACCTGTGCCCACCTCACGCTGGATGTATAGCTTTGTGTATAGTAAACTATAGTACTGACGTGAGTCAGCGCTACCATGGCGCTACACAGCGGAGACCGGAAGCAATACACTGGCCACAAAGCGAGAGACAGTCGCAGTAAAAAGTGATCTTAAGTCGGTTTTCGGTGAAAATACCATATTTTCACCGCTCATTATCTCAGCGTAGGGGCATCGTAGGGACATGCGGTTTGTTTTATATTAACAAGGTAGGACAGCTGATCAATATTACTGCAAAGAATCGTCAAAATAAAACGGGGAAAGTTTATTAATTTGACTAATACTGCAACATGGTTTCAGCATTTCACCGTTGTACGCTCTCCTTCTTTATACGCTCTTGACCAAATGCATTTATCATGGAGTGTTTTGTGGATCAAGTTTAATGTTCTGGGTGCAAAATACATGCAAATAATAATAAAAAATTAGTGATCATGATTGTGTATGTAATCTGTTTTAGATTAATATTTTACTGTTTATATTGAATAAAATAAACACACAAGCAACTTTAAATAGTTTATTATAACAAAGTGATATTACATTAAAGTTAAATGACAGTACTATGGCATCTAAATTATATACAGTTAAATTCATTAATATTTATAATTATCAAAGTGGTTATTTATTATTATTGCTTGACTTTAAAACTGATTAAATATATTAATAATAAATTATGTTCAGCATGAAACACATTTTTATCATAGATGATTTGCATTATACCATGATGATTACCTTATACTATTATAATAATTTCTTAAATTGGAACTTATATTAATATTACGTTCAGTATCTCATACCACTCACGATATAGACAAATAGACTAGTGGGTTTATTTCCTTAACACATCTAATATGGAGTTTTAGTGCTAATAGGCAGCAGTAAATTCATCACAGGCTTCTTGATAGCCACAAACGATACACCTTCGATATCATAGGGTGTACCTAAATACAGTTCTCTTCCCAAGTGATTTTTGTTGGAGGTTGTATGTATCAGCTGTTGTCCAGTATAGCCGATCTATTTCAAAATCATGCACAGTATAAAGAAAGACTTTGTTGAAAGAAGGCTTCAGTTTTATATGTGTCTATAGGTCATAGTACTTTGTAAATTGTGAATTGGACACAATGTCTATTGAATATGGTAATTTTCTTGAATCTATAGGTGGTATGGAAACCAATTTTTAATAACTGTAGTTGTAAATATATGTGTATGTAAAAGGTGACTGCTTGATTTAGGGCTACTGGGTTTCAACTAATTACATAATTATTAACACAACATACATTACATACATACATACATACATACATACATTATTACATTTATTACTTAATTAGTTCTCTCTGTAAAATAAATCATGTGCAATGTAACTGACGTTACTCTTAAATTATCTGAGTTTAGATGATGTATGCAGGGCAATGGGGATTAGTACATATAATCAACAAGATAATAAAGCACTTTCACAGTTCAGTGTTACACCTGACATCAATTTTAAATAGTTTTAAAACTTCTCCCTTCTGTTTCTGGACACAATGTAGTAAGTGGTGTAAATATACCACTGCATGCAAATACAGCTGAGGGAATAACCTGAGACATAATTATTTAGTATAATAGTTTAGAATAATGATAAGTTATTGAATTTATTAGGATACAGTCAAAGTAGAATGAAAATCACTAGACCTCAATCAATATTATTACCGCCACGTTAGTGGTATTGGTCACCTGACTAATTGAATGGCTTTGTGCCTATAGGTGGAGCTAGTGATCCTCAGCAGCATTAAATAGAGTGCAACCTGATATTTCTCACTAGAACAGTGTTGTAATAATTGGTGATGGTTAATGTTATAGCAGCATTGTGCTATTATTCCAAAATTTAAGTAATTTTATTATGTTAAATATTCAAGAAAAGCTCATAAAAATAAAGATCAGTGATGAGAGTAAATATGCAAGACTGTTGTGAGTGTAATGCGATGGGTCAGCAATTCATAGACGAGTGCTGCCTTGTATACACCAGTTACATGTTTCAATGTCTATGTCTATATGTAGAAACACCTGTTATCAGCCTAAACCTATCTGTCATTCAGATATTGAAGTATGTGCATGCATCAGAAATAAGACTAGGGCAATATATGCAAATAGATAAATAATCTGTATCAGGTCAAACTGTGCGGTTGTGCGTGGGTGTGTTCGCGCATGTGTGCATGCCACGTGGGTGTGACAGAGATGCCAACCACTACGATTTACCCGTATTTTATACGAATTTCTATTCCTTTTGCACCACTACGACCAGTTTGTATCAAACTACAAATTTCACTGTGATAAAAAAAGAATTTTTTTTTGTCAATTATTGTCATTTTTTGTCAATTTATTGTCATTTTTGACCCTCAGAATGCAGGAAATTGCATCTCAGAATCAAAAAAATTCCCGGGGGGCATGCTGGACCCCCCTCGAACTACTAATTTGATGGCCAGAAACCTTGCTTCAAATATGTGTTGGCATGTCTGGTGTGAGGTGTGGGTGTGTGAGGCGTAGTTGTGCAGGGTGGGGTATGGGCTCACCATGTTTGAGAACTGTTTTGCTACATCAACGCTACTAAAAATTCTTGTGCTTGTTTCATTATGGAGGAATACCATGACACAAAATAGCAGTGAATTTCCTACATGTTTTTAAAAAGTATTTTCTTATTAAAAGGTTCTTTGTTGTGCAAACCCCACATTGTGCAGGATGTAGAATGTTCGAAAAGCAATTGATTTCTTTACTGCAAAAACATTGAGTGCGCATTGTGTTAGATTGCCATTATTGATTTGTAAGTGCACGCTATTGAACAACTGCTGTAATTATTCGCAACTATGTTATTGTCGCATATTCAACGACACACTTTGGCATATCGAGCTGCATCTCGAAAACACAGCAGACGATTCAATACGTATAACGTGTGAACGTATGCATCATTTGTATTTGAATCGCGTTCCGTTGAAGTAATTCGGTCGGAAAGCGAGCAAATCCGCACCGACCGACGATTTGAGCGATGACTCGATGATCTCATGGCATTTGTGTGTGTGTGTGTTGCAGACGTGCGAGTGAGCAAGGTGGAGCCGTGGAATAGCGTGCGCGTGACCTTCAACATCCCTCGTGACGCCGCGCTACGACTCAAACATCTCGCCGAGCGAGGCGACAACAAACTGCAGGAGCTCGGCGTCTTATCTGTGCAGATAGAGGGCGACACCATTGTCGCCCTGACGATTGCCGGCCGCGACAATCAACCGCAGGAAATAGTGTTGAAGACGACGGACGGTGGCGCTGCGAGTGGTGGTGGCGGCGGCGGCGGCGGCGGCGGGTTCGCGCAGACGGACGACGCTAGCGCCCCCGGTCCGAGTAACGTCGACATCACGCAGAAGAGCATCTCTCAGCTGTTCGCGCAGCACTCGCCTGTCGGTCACACCGCCTCCAATCTCTTCAACCAGATCGCCGCGAGCGGAGTGTTCCGTTCTCCGAACGTCGTCGCGCCCAACAGTGAGCCGCTGCCGTTCCAGCAGGCGAGTCCGCGCAACGCTGTGATTGGCCAGCGTAGACCGGCCGTGCATGCTTTCCCATTCTCCAGCATGCAGACGCATCCCGTCAGCTCTAGTCAGTCGGCGACGTCGCCCGGCCTCGCAACTATGGGCAACCCCATGCTGCAGCAGCAGCAGCAGCCGCGTGGGTTCGCGCCGGGGCAGGTGTACCCGCCGCCGCGGCCGCCGGGTCTGCCCACGCAGACGAGCATCAGCTACACGAGCGTGCCGCGCATGGTCGCCAGCAGTGAGGTGGCGCTGTCCAGCCCGCTGCTAGTCAACCTGCTGCAGAGTGGCGGCGGCGGCGGAGGCGCGGACGCGCACAACAAGCTGCTGAGTCCGACGGCAAACGCCGAGGGAACGCCGAAGAAGAAGCGCAAGCCGAGGAAGTCGAAGGAGAAGCCGGGGGAGCGGCTGAAACCAGCCCCGCTGTCGATCGCCCGTACGTCGCCGCAGCCGCAGGATCCCCCACCGCCCGGGATGCGACACATCATCAACCCCTTCACGGGTCAGCTGGAACCCGTCGCTAACGACGACTCTGAGAGCAGCCCCGGCCCCGCCGACCACCCTGAGACAGCTAACGACTTCTCGTTCAGTTCGCCCGAGCATGTGAAGCCGGGCAAGGCAGGCTCGGATGTGGATGAGGAGGCAGAGGCACGCGTGCGTGTCCCCGCCGCCGACGACGACGACGACAATGTGAAAAAATCAAATTCGGAGGATAGTGAACGCTTAGATGCTGTGGGTGTGATTGCGTCGGAAGATGCAAACGATTTGACTGCTAGTAGTGCGGAGTGGCAACCCGGCTCTCCGAAACTAAAACTCGTAAAGTCGGAATCAAAATCGCCGCCTCTGGCGCCAACTGTGCTAAAAATAACGTCCACGAGGGATAACCAAGGTAATCCCACATTCACTGTGCGCACACGGACGCGCGACAGCAAGACGAAAGACGATAAATTGATAAAGTGTTCCGTTAAAGTCGACACCAAGCGGTCGTCGGACGACGAACCGAAACTGCCTCCGATCAAAATCAAGATTCCCAAGTCGAGCATCGCGTCGTTAGAGCAGAGCATAACGAGTGTGAGTCCGAGCCGGAGGAAGTGCAAGGACCGGTCGCGAGGTTCCAGCTCTGAGCGATCGCCTGGGATCGGCCGCTCCAAGGACACACTGCTGTCCTCCGACGATCATGGTACGTACTTGTGTGTGTGCGTGCGTGCGTGTGTGCGTGCGTGCGTGTGTGCGTGCGTGCGTGTGTGCGTGCGTGTGTGTGTCTGTGTGTGTGTGTGTGCATGTGTACGTAAGTGCGTGTTTTGTGTGCGTGTGTGTGTGCGCGTGTACATGTGTCTGTGCGTACATGTGGACGTGTGTGTGGGTATGTGTACTTGCATGCGTCATGTGTGTGTACGTGTGTAGTGTGCATTGTGACTTTGTGATTGTTACCTCCGCGCAACGGAGATGCAGGGAGGTAATGTAATCGCTCTCGTGTGTGTGTTCGTGTGTGTGTTCGTGTGTGTGTGTGTGTGTGTGTGTGTGTGTGTGTTCGTGTGTGTGTTCGTGTGTGTGTGTAGCCAGCAGCGAGCCAGCTGTTATACACATGTATACATTTTACACGCGTTGGCGCGATCGATTCAGCACCAGCTCGCCTTAGGGCGTCCAGTCAGCAGCAGCCAGCAGCGTGCCAGCTGTTATGCACATGCATACATGTTACACGCTCGCGGAGGTATGCACTCTCTTTGAGTGCCCTCTGTCTAGTTTTACATAAATTTTGTTCACTTATTTTTACTGCCACTTGAATTTGAATTGCCACTGAGAATGCATGAATACCATCCAAACACTTCAGCAAAATTGGCTTTTTGTACGAAACAAAAATTAATTCTGTCATTAATCTCTATAATCTCTAATTATCTAATTAAATTAATCTCATTAGAAAAAGTAGCTTGCACTTGTTGCCCATGACAAGTAACTTCCTCATTGTTCGTGCACGTGATCAGTAGCAGGTTGAAAATAACAGATTGAAGGCATTTTGACTGAATGAAACGTTGTAACAGAATAAACAGAGTATTGACACTGGAAAACCATTTATTCCCCAAGTATATATATATATTGTAAGCACTTGAGAACATTTTATGACTTATGCCTCTCGTAACTACGTTCTGTGCCTATTCAAATATAATTATGAATAACAAAATTCGGTGTAAGGCATTGCGTTGTTAAAATTATGCCAGCCCAAAGAAAAATCTCTATTAACATTAACCAAATATTCGGATTGAATATTAAACAGTGGAAGTCAGCCATGCATCAAATTTGGCATTAGCTAGGGAAATTAGAACTTAGGATGAGCTGTTAGAAAGGGATTATTAGTTTATAGGATTATTTAGGAGGAAGATTAGACATTTGCCTTATTTTGTGTGACGAATTGGGTTATCTAGATGTGATATTTATTTGATACCCTTGCCTTGTGTCATGAAGTATTTTTAACATCTATGTTCGTTACATGCATTTAAATGCATTATCAGTAGCTGGGAGGTTTATGTTTTTTATTGTCTGTTTCCTTCTATAGTGCCCTGAAACCTTGAGTAATTGTGCTACACAGTTATTATCATTGCCTGTAACCTTTTATCACAAAAATGTGAATAAACGAATCAACTATGTGAATACATTTATTTCCGGAGGTGGAATACATATAGATGCAAAATTTGCATACAAAGATATGCATACAAAGTCTCTGCTGCGTTCACGTCGTGCGTGAAATCTATTCGTCAGTGGCTGTCCGCTCTGTGTGTGAGTGACCTGTAAGTGAGTCTCACTGTGAGTGACCTGTAAGTGAGTCTCTGTGAGTGACCTGTGAGTCTCTGTGAGTGACCTGTAAGTGAGTGTCTGTGAGTGACTTGTGAGTGACCTGTAAGTGAGTGTCTGTGAGTGACCTGTAAGTGAGTCTCTGTGAGTGACCTGTAAGTCTCTGTGAGTGACTGCTA